TTAATTGCGTATAGAAAGAATGAAGAGATAGCAAAGTTAGAACTGTTAAAACAGATACACAGTGTCTAAATATTATTCAAGATCTTAATCATATTAAAAGAGTAGTGTAATTAATTCACCAGCATATTTATAACCTGGAGAGATGCTTAAGTGTAGCTGAAGCAATGTGAGTAGCAATCAGCTGCAAGTAGATATCCTTGTGTATCTCAGGAACTTCTAGGCAGTACTAATTTCCACAAAGCACTGAGGATTCTGGTCCCATCCAAGGAGACTAGATGCTGGTAGTCCAGTGGGTTTTAGTATGCTCATGCATAAAACTTCTCATACCAGTAAAATTAGCTTTACCAGCTCAGCAGTTTATTCAGCAGTTTGCAGGAGCAGTCCAACTCTCCAGTTTACATCAGTTTTAAACCTTTGTTTCCGTGTGACATTACTTATGAGAGAATAACCAAGCCTGGAATGATGACCTTCCACCCCACCATGTGTTTTTCCATTATTATGATTTATTCTTTCTTTAACCAGTTGTTTTGTAAACCATTCACTGGTCAAAACAATACACTGGTTCAGGAGTGAAATGGTTGAGGTTCAGAGACTCCATATATATGTTCACAGTCAGTGCAGCTTTGTCACTGGTTTCCTATGAAGGAAACAAAACATGGGATTAATAGCCACTTGTAAATTCTGAGTTTATTCTATCCACTGTGCCAGGATAAACTAGGGAAAATAAATAGAAGCTTCAAATCATCAATAACATGCTGGGAATCAAATCTGCAATGACAGACTTCACAGCTTGTTAAATGCTCTGTGGATTCCTAAACTAATAGGGAGCAAATACAGTGTCATTGTGGTGTCAATTGGAAATGAATCCTGAATATAGATTTTTTTTCAGTTCCCACTGTCAGGAGAAGTGAGTTTGTTTTTCAGAAGCAAACTGGGGGTATGAATTTCTGAGATTTTAAGAAATATTTATGTTCAAGGTTAACACATTATTTCCTTTTAATTATTGCTAGAAGAAGCTCAAAGTAAGCACAAAGCAGCTGATGAGAATGACTAGCATATTTCAAGAAAATGCAAAGGAAAACATAAAGTAGTATCTGTTTAACTCTGAGCAGTCATCCTGACTCTTCTCACCAGTATGACATGGTCTATCAGAAGAATATTTGGGGAAATTTTTGCACTGGATAAATTCAATGAGCCAATTTTAAATAAGAAGTGAAAAATTCTGCCACCTTCTGGAGTATCTCATCCCAGTGGGCATTTCATCATGCCAATACTGAAAATGTACCATAACACAGATCTTTCACTGATCCACTGCAGAACCCTGTAGTCCTAAATGCGGTTTATGTTTTTCTGTCCTTTAGGTAGCACCAGGGAAATGCCACTGCCAGAGACAAAATAGAGAAATGTGGCCTGTGTTCAACAACTGTCCTCTGGGTTTAATCTCAGTCTTTCACTGGAACAGGGATGCTTTGTAAGTAATACTGCTGTAGCTCTTAGAAGAGGAATAGACAAGAGGAGAAATAAATAGCATGAATCGCGATTGTTCTCATTAATAACGTGACACTGCACTGTCACTGCTGGTCTCTGGGCATTTTGCAGTGTGACATGGATACAATATTGTTGCTCTGCCTTCTATGAAACACCTTGAATATTATTTGTTTTTATTTAATTTTACTGCCTTCAGAGTATCTGTAAAGACTCCAGTCAAAGAACAGACATTAAATACATACAGAAAATTAATTTTAAGGGGCATTAATATTAATTCTACAGCTCATCATTAAGATTGAGTACAGCACCTGTAAAGAGCAGCAGAACAGCCAGCAGTGTCTTCTGTGTCAGGTTTTTGTCTTTTACATCTGCAGAAGCCAGAAGCAATTAAAATGATAGGTCAACTCCTGAACTGCTTTATTCTCTCAGAGGGTTACACAGAACAAAGGGCCATTCAGGAACACTGCTTATTGAGTTGTCCAATTTAAAAGTTGTTTTTCTTTCTCAAAAGGAAAGGGAATTTTCTTTTTTTTTTAAATTGGTTTACAAGTCACTCCTCTTGAGGTAATACTCCTGCTTATACCTACCCTCCCCTGCAGCAGGATAGCTATTAAACTAATACCTTCTTGTAAATGTACACTTTAATTTTGGGGGTTTTTTTAATCTGTTTACAGGTGATTCAGACGTATTATTCAGGAAAGTTTATTCCATGGGTTTATTGCAGGACCTGCTGGTTTCAATGACTTTTGCATAGCTTGTATTTGGTAATCCAGGCCACACTGGTGCTCCAGATCATAGAGAACTGAGTGCAAGAGGAGTTGCTGAGGGCAACCTGTTGTTCCAGGGAACATCAGCACCTGGCTGCAGGAGAGGACTGCTGCCTCAGCAGGGACCCTGCTGATCTCACTGCTACTCTGCAGTGCCCATCAGGTCAAGCTGCTGTCATGACAGATGACTATTTCTTCTCATGATATTTAAAACCAGAATGCTGTGGTTTAGATCAGTCTCTATAGGACTACACAGAATCTCTTACAGTGCAGTCGACATTTCATATTTTTCGGGTTTGCTGTATTTCTGAGGATGTTTATGGGGCTAGAAGGGAACTTAACTAAAGCGGATAGATCTACATTCCTTAGTTGTTGAGGGTGATAGAGAGTTCAGCACAGTATTGTGGAAAGGGCTTTAAAAATACTGAGCTGTGTCCTTTAAACATTATTAATCCAGTAAACTCATTAGCATGCATCATCTTGCACTAGTCCAAGGAAATGGAAAGTCAGTATTTCACATGCCTTCCAGAAACTATCAGGTTACAGAAGTCATCACCATAACACACTGCAATTTTCAATGAGCCTGGAGCAGGAAACTGGACAAACTTTAGGCAATAGAACCCAATGTGGAACCAATACAATTTGGTTAAAATAATTAGCTAATATGTAGCTATATCCATGTGATCTTGAGTCATCTTTTATGGAAATTCTGTAGAAGAAAAACAGATATATCAAATCTAGGTAGGGACAAAGTTATTCCCGTTTATTAGCTCTTCTGCCTCTGAATATTGGCTCCAAATGGCTCTTGTGGAGTACATGGAGCATAGAGGTGCTTGGCCTACATTGAAATCAGTGAGGATGCGTCAGTAATTAATTAAACTAACCTTACTCATGCAGATTATACTTTCCTTCAGTAACTGCATTTTCTTCAAAAACACTACCTGTAACATGTGTAAAGACAAACTGAACTGTCCTAAATACACACAAACATTGAGGTAAAACTTTTCAAAATGCTTAGTTTCTCTGCTAAAGCTTCTGAGAAGATCTCAATAGCAAAATGCAAACAAATGAAAATGAGCAAGTGAGAAAAAACAAGAAGCCTGTTATCTGAGGAATATGTTCTCTGTACTTTCAGAGTCTTGGCTTGCAGACAACTTGGTTTTCATTGTAGCTTTTTTAGTTTTCATGCTGCTATATTCATCCATCCTAACCTGACGTTTAAATGTTGGTATAAGAAGCTATCAGTCTTTTTGACAGTAATCTGAGATCTCAGATAGCCTAGACTGAGCCATCTCCAGTAGAAACAATATGAATGTGAACAACTACCTGTGCATCTTTTTTTTTTATTATTCACACTCACAACTACTTTATGAGAATGACATACAAGCTTTAAAAGTCAGAAGTGAGACTCTCATCTGTGCTCTGTAGGCACATATGATGAACTACCTTTTCTTTTGTATGTATACTTGTCTTTAAATTAAGAAAACAGACTAGGTCCCCAACAGGAGCTTTGAATTTTGTGCTGAAATTGAGGAAGCATGTGAGTGTTCATGCTTCTTTCAGCTATTGTAACTGTTCTGCCACTGCAGATTCCAAAGGAAATGCAGCAATTTGGCTGGCTTGGGACAGGCTATAAAGTGTTTTGGTGGCCAGTGCAGAAGCCTTAGATTTCATTTTGTGTTCAGCAGTTTTCAGGAGATCTATGCCTACAGCAGTTACATTTTGTTGCATTATAGAAGGAAAAACAGTCTCAGGGAAGAGATTGTAGATGGAACCAAAGGGTCAATTTCTGTTTCTTAAGAAGATTTTTATTCTTTTTCTGCATGACTGTGTATGCTCAGCGGTTATGCTGGCCCTCAGTTCTTCTGTTACAATTCTTACCTTACGGGGATACAGGGATATTGTGAGGATTGAATCACAGAATCATAGGATCATATAATGTATTGGGTTGGAAAGGACCTATAAAGGTCATATAGTTTAACCCACCTAAAATAAGCAGGGATTTCTATTTCTTTGTTTATGTGGGACAGTGTCTTCATTCTTGGAGTTCAACTTGTGCTTTCAAATGATGCTAGGTTTTTACTAAGTACAGTTTTGCAGGTTTTACTTGGAAGAGCTTTCTTTGGTTTCACAGTTTTGGAATCTACTGGCTATATTCAGGATTCTGAGGTGTGTTTTTTCTAGAATAAACTTTTAACTGGCTTAGGCATTTTTGGAGATACTTCAAAGGTGTTTTCTTTGTATTCTTGTTCCTTGCTCAGTTTTCCTTTGGAGATAATCCATGCCACTGTGCTGAGACAGGCTGTCTTCATCTCTCAGCTCTTCCTCTCTGGTGTGTCCACCCGAAGCTCTTGCTCAGACAGCTTTTCCTCTGTTTGATGGGAAAGAGGCTCTTCAAGTCTGTGACAGAAAGTTCGTATCTTTTCTTTCTAGGCAGGTTCAGGTTTTGGAGTTTCTGCTACTTGTTCAACATGCAATGAAGAGTATTTGATGTGAAGAGGAAGCAGATACGTAAGTCTGAGGAATTTGCCACGTTGTCCTCTGCATTATTTGATACCACTTTGTTTCACACTGCAGAAGAGGTGGCAGAGAAATGTTAATTGGTGGTACAGAGAGCACAGGGATTTTCCTTGACAGAGGAAGACTACCAGAAACATCTTCAAATTTTTGTGTAACTTTCCAAGAGGAATTTTCACTTTGCTGTTAGTCAAGGTTGCTGACTGGCTCTCTGGACTCTGATAATACCTCCATCCAGGATAATGAGGCTTGGCTTCTGAAGGCTGAAATGGTGGTCGCAAAGGAATATCTTGCTGTTCAGGCTCCCCAGGTTTCATCGCACTGGCACTCAAGCTCTCTTTTGGAGGTTCAGTAGTATGAACAGACTTGGTTGATCTATCTGCCTGTTCCTTTAAAATGGCTCTTCTATTTTCCAAAAACCATCTAGGTAATGTTCCAAGAGCCTCTGAGTTTTTAGATTTTTCTGTCCTTTTCTGCTTCTGCTCTATTGGAAAAGGAATGAGCACTATCTCCAAGTCTGATGAATTCACTGGTAGATTCTGATCCTTCTGCATCACAAGATGGAACACAAAATTCTGAGTGGGCCGCTTCAGCTGATGAGAATCTTAAAAGTTGTTAAAGTTCACCAGCATTGCTTTCCTGCGGCTCTGGAGATGTAATTTGAGTTTCATTACTGGATAGCACATTTGACTCTGCTCCATTCTGTGAAGATTCACAGGTTTCTCCTGTAAGATACTCTAGCAGGACATCAGTATTTCAAGGAGGTTTCTCATAGATTTCCTTTCTCCTTTCACGATGTTCTTGACTCTCTCCTCAGCACTGTCCATGGCATGCATTGTATGAGTGTTCATTTGGGTAGTGGGCAGACTTCTGCACACTCAGGTGGAAAGAAAAGGCATACAGCCTACAGCTAAAAAAATAACATATCCTCTGTGCCCAGTAATTTCAACACAGCATCATGGCTTATGACCCAGCTGGTCTGTTTCTACATCTGTACAACAGTATTCTTGCAGTACTGACATGAATTTATTTCTTACTTACCTAGTGAGAAATCCCAAGACAGCACAAGATGTTGTGTGGTAGTTACATTTTCTTCAGTGGGACTGCTGAGTGACATATTGTGATATATCAAGAGGCAACTGTGAATTTAACTTGAGTCAGCACAGTAGACTTTGCCCAGTACAGTAGGCTTCCTGATGAACATAGTGTGAATGTAAGAATAAAGGGAAGTTTATGAATACCTCACAGCATCATGCGTCTTCTGTCAGCATTAGTTTTCAAAACACACACGACTTTGGGCTGGCTAGGGAAAACTGTGTGTATTCATTATTTATTTAGCTTACATAGTCACTTTAATATTTATGAACATACTGTTTCCAGAATGGATTAACAGGAAAAGACAATAATGATACTCATTTGTCAGAAGAATCAGACATGTCAAAATACAAAACTTACTTTTTCTTACTATTTACTCTGTTACGCCACTAAATGTCTATTTCTTGTGGGTAACAGAGCCAGGTAAGCAACACAAGTGACTATTTTGTAAATAGGCTATTTGATCTCACTAAATTTCAGATAATTTATTGCCCAGGTTTTGGAACATGACAACATGGAACAGCAGAGGGCTCTGTTGCTCATTAAAGAGGTGGGCAGATATTCATACGTATCCATGTTTGTACTGCGTTTTGCAAGAAATTGCAAGGGTGGTAGTTGGAGTGGAAGAACCAACAGACTGACACAAATTCTGGTTTATGTCTCATATTTACCAGAGCAGTTAGTGTGAGCAGGAATTCACTTCTGTGGAAAATATTTTTTTTTCTTAGGTATTTGTGGAGGAGTTTTAGTGCACCCTAACAAACCGTAGCCTTCATGCAAAGTATTCAGCGTGTAAATGAAAAAGGCTTCTCAGACCTGCTGTTCCCATTTCTAGAATGGACATGTACTTCACTGGGTTCTCTATCAGTGCCACACTCAGTGTGCTCTTTAAAATAAAAAAATTGTCCATAGCAACTCTGTGTTGCAGTTTCAGCCCTTTGGTGTTTTAAGTAAGTTATGTCTTACGCTGAGAGCAACACTTAAAGCCAGTAATCCCTGGAGGGGCACAAGGGAGATATTCAGCTTTAGTTGCTAGGTAGATGAGCAGGTCAAGCACTTAAATTCCAAATATTGCTAGTGATGTGCTGTAAGGAGACCTGAGGATGGTAGCACTGAGTATCTTTAGATGCTATCAGTCTACACACCAGGAAAGGTAATGCAGGTTGCTTAAAGTGCCAAAGAGGAAGCTTTCTTGCCCTCTTCTAAATACCTTGGCTGAAGGATCATCCTCTCTGATTACTGCTATCATACAAAGTAAATGCAGGTATTTCTCCAAGGTTAGGAAGATAATGTTGGGTGGTATGAACAGCTTCACAATTTATTTACTTTTTTTTTCTGGCTTGATAATCTACTCCTTAAATTCAAAACAAGGAGCACTTTCCCCCCCAACAATCCTTAGTGAACAGAGAGGGGTCAGTATTCCCTTCCACTTCCTGCCATACTCTATAAGAGCCAGGAGAACTCGAAGTTCAGCCCTTTTCCTGTGACATACTTCCTTGCTGCTGGTGATGCTCAGAGGTTTTTCAATTCACCACGTGCTGTCCAGAATCCAACTCTGCTGGGTGTTGTGAGGAGCTGTGGACCCCTCTCCTGAGGCAGCCTTGCCCAAGGGAATCCCACCAACCCATTCCT